TTTCAGCTTGCTGCTGCTCTGATTGCATTTGAGAAAGTGTCATACTACAACACCATCATGCAGAGCATTAGCAGGAACTGGAGAAATTAGTTGTAAGACCATAGGACTGAAAGCTGGTGAAGAGTGAAATAAGGCAAAGAGCAGACAAGAGGACAAATGGCAGCATAGGCTGCAGCAACTGAAAAGGAAATCCAGTGGGTTTTGCAGAAGAGCGATTCCAAGGGAAGAGGAGCAGCAGGAGGGAAAAACACCTGGAGGAAGAAACACAGGTGCAAAAGAGCTCCCCCTCCCTCCCTGGGAATAATGAGATGCTTGTCTCAATGCCCAGCTCTTGCGTTGGCCACCTCCCACCCTTTATTCTGCCAGGTCTCACTGGTGCGGCAAACTTTTAAGAAGCCAAATTTTTCTAGGTCTCAGAGCACTAGAAGCCTGTCCTTCAGAGTGAGAGCAGGACTTGCCCTTGAAATCCTTGCTGATATCTCTTGGTTCAGCAGCGCGGTGTAGGAGTGGGGTTGTGCAGTCATCATCCACCCAGCTGAGCTGGATTTCTTCAGTCTTTTCTGTGCTCAGAAGAGACTGCAGCTTATGACATGTCCCTAGAGGATTCTGGACAGAGAGCAAAGGTCTGGGCTGGCAGCTGTACAACTTTAGAAGGGCTTCATTGCCTTTGCTAGTCTGCAGCTCCCCCGTCAAATTCCCTTTATGGTCTTGTAAAACCACCGTACTCCTTTTTTAGGTTAATCGGCCTTGGCTTAGCCAGCAACTAAGGCTTTCTCTCACTGTCTTCTAGTGAAATAACAGAATCTCGGTCTTTTTTTCTTCTGTGTAAGGAAGAGCCTAACCCTTAGCATACAGGTGAGCTGTAACCTACTACCTAAAGTGACAGGGTCACTCCTCTGTCCTGACATTGGGGAATTGCACTGGGTGCCCCTGCTGTTAAAACCAAGAACTGCTGTAGCTTCAGCTGCAGGAGCAAGGTGCTGGGAGAGTTTCATATTCTCTGTGGACTGGACATGGAGAGAACCCAGTTAAAGAAATTGGCTGGTGGGCTTTGAATGCAGAGGGAAGTATATATTACCCCTGATGTCTGTGTG